CCCTAGCAAAGCGCACATGAAGGCTCCCTAATGTATATGAGACGATGGTTGTTAAATAAATTTCAAGCTGTGTTAGAGACTTCACTGTTCTGTCGTTTTTCTTTATTTTCCTACGTCTCAGGGTTACTATAGATATCATTCACCAGTTCGCCTGCGGTTTTTTACATTTCTTTACTCTTGTGCATTTCTAAACGCAGATTTGTGAAGCGAACTTTTCCCATTGAGTGACGAGCGGGTGTGTCTCCTTAAGAACGCAATCAACGCAACCATATTACGGGACCAATCACGCAGCGTGAAACGCGCAAATGACGGGTCCTTCCTTGTGCATGACTGATTCAGCGATGAAAAAACATCTACAGCGACGTGCCAAACAAATATTTGTGCACTTTTGACGCTGTTTGATTGTTCGCATCAGCTCGCAGCATCGGCTGCGTTCAGACGTATGGTAAAACTATGTGAAGACAAATTTGGGGTTTCATGTGCGACACCAACGAAAAGTGTCTGGTACGCCCCAGTGGAGGACTGGGAAATAATTTTGACTACCTGAGGATCTTTCGACGTGCAATCGAAAACTCGGTAATATGGCGCCTTCTCCACAACAAGTCTCCGTCAAATTGCGGGCACTTAGGGCGGGATTCGAAACAGCCACCAAGTCCTACGTAGGCCGGCGTTTGCCCACGAGACTCCAAACCGGCTGGTGAAAGAGAGCACAAGAAAACAAATATTTGCAAATGTCTCAAAGTGTACAGCAAGCGTTGGAAGTGACAGAAATGTATAGGATGGGGATCAAATGGAGGGGCAGGACGATGAATTTGAAATAAAAGGCTAAAGAAATAAGTCAAAAGAATATTATGCAATCCCTCTCCCCCCCCCCCCTTTCCCACAAAAAAAAGCTTACCTTTGTGTTTTGAGTAAAGACGACTGAGGCAGAATACGCTGTATTTCCTGTTTTATTCCCTAACAAATTGCAACAAAAGTCCGAAGAGAAAAACAGACGCAGTTAATCAAAACAAACCAAAACAGGTCGACAGGTATAGCCAATTATATTTTGGGTTAGTCAACATTATGCGAGTTTTCGAGGTGAGTCATTTGTTTTACTTTGGCAGTGACTATTGCTTGGCTTCGTTTTTTCATATCAATTTTCTTTTGTCCGTTCGGCGCAGGTCCTGTGTACGCTTTTCTTTTGTCTGCATGTTTTGGTGAGTTACTTTTAGCGTTAAATAAATTAAGCTATGGCTTTAAACTGGTTTGTTATCTACCATTTTTAATAAAACAAATGTGAAATGGAATATATATACTCATTATAGCGTTACCCCACATAAAAATAAATTGATAACCAGCGATATTTATACTGAACAGAAAAACCAAAGGAAGAATAATTGCATAAGGTATGTTCCCATGTAAAATCAAATTCCTGCTCCTTATAGGAAGCTCTATTAACGGAAGAATTCCTATTTGGGATTGGTTGGAAAGGCAATAATATCTCGCGAAATTGACTTTTTTTGCTTGATGCTGATGAACTATATGAGTTAAGGCAAAAAAAAAAAAAACATTCAAAGAAGCAAGACATGAACTGACCCTTGCCTTTATTAAAACTCTGTTCTCGGAAAAAAAAAGAAGAGAACTAAAGAATACAGAAGCAAGCCATTTCCATTATTATGCCGCCTCCCCCTCCCCCGAAAAAAGCAAACAAAAAACCGTGTTATTGCTTGCGCAGAAGATCAAAGCATGTTTATTACTTTTCAATTTAAGCGACGCGGTTACGCAGCGGGCTAACCGCATTCCATAGAGAGTCGTACGCAAAACCGGCAGCCTGAAAAGAAAACGAAAATGAGGCGGGAGAGAAGGGAAACAATCAGGTTTAACCTTTTCTCGAGAGATGTCCCTAGCTTTGCGCTCGAATAAACCGCGCGAGACCACAGTTACATTGTAGCGATTAGCCTTTAATTACAGCGTGGAATCATCTTCAGACCGTCCTGCTGGGAAACTAAATACTGTAATGTGGCAGTCATCGTCATCATCAAGCATCACCATTGGGCACGCTCAGTAACGGCTTCTTTCGCTCCGAACGGGGTAGCTCGGGTAGGAGTTCCCGGAGCCCATACAAACGTGGTTTTTGTACGTCTTTAGAAAATACTTTGTATGGCGGGCTATAAAAATTGGCCGAATCGCTATAGCCGCTTCTATAGCTGTCTTAAGTTTTTTTAATGGAAAGCTATATAACTTTATATTGTTTACTCTATAGGTCTCTTTAGGAATGATGCAATAGCCGCCTATGGCTTTTATTTTCATTTCATTTCATTTGTTTATTCCTTTAGCCGCCTGTAGCTTCTTATTTGCTCTGCAATAGAGATCTGAACAACTTACTTTATGGAATCTTGCTATACACCAGGGGTGGCCAGGCTGACCAGGCCTAAGAGCCGCAAACAAAAGCACGAAACTTCGAAGAGCCGCGGGGGGAGGGGGGGGGGGGGAGGGAAGGGGGAGGGATTTTGTCCAGAGGAATAAACGGAACTCGTGTCTACTTTCCACCTATCCGAGTCAAAAGCAGTCCACGTGTACGTAAGGTAGCAGTAGCACAGGACTACCAAATTGCAACCTGTGCTTCGATTTAAAACACGTTTCATTTCGTTTTGGGGGGAAGTGGTCCTGTGACTGGAAGGGAGCAAGGGGGGGGGGGGGTAGGGGAGGGAGCCGCGAGCCGCACTTTAACACGCGAAGAGCCGCATGCGGCTCGCGAGCCGCAGCTTGGCCACCCCTGCTATACACTGTGCTACATTAGTCTATGGATTTTCCTATGGTTTCTTTAGCCGCCTGTAGCCCTTTGTATGGTTTGCTCTAGCTTATTCTATAGCACGCCCTATAGTTCTCTTTACCATCGTGCTATAGCTGGTTATGTTTTTCTCGTTTTGCCGTAATGGTATGAAGTATGAAACAAATTATTTTTTGTCAGTGTACATCTTTAAGAAAAACAACCTTGTATTTAGACGCAAAAGAAGGTTGAACACCGCAAACGTATTTAAGACGTCCTGAATTTAATAAACCTGTTTAAAACATCGAGCAAACCCTTAAAAATGTACTCGCCAATGTGTTTGCAAAAAGGCAGGTAGGCAGATACAAGGGAGTGTTTTCAAATCGCCTAGACGTTTATTACCTACAGCATATACTGTAGACAAATACAAACTAATCAATCTGTAATTTGTGAAGAGGTACTACTAAGCTGTTACACAACTGAAAATACTGCAAAGCAAACAAGGACCAAAGTGAAATGATTAATAGTGTCTAGTCTCACGGCAGCCGGCAGGTTTTTCCCTCGAAATTTTACCGACAGTCGCCAACCATCGGCGTTGCAATGAGTTCATCGAACGACCTTTCTTTGACAGATGGTTTAATCAACGCGTTGTTTCATAGACTTTTTTTTTTAATAAGTGATTGCGTTCACGCCAAAGAGTGGCGTTAACGGGTGAGCTGGGTAGATGAATACGCGCCTCAGGAATACAATGCTGACGCGAAGGTGCCCCATACAGCGGGCAATTCGCGTAGCGAGTGTCCATGAAACGTAGTGCGGACGAAACTTCTGTCCATGGAACATGTATCAACGAAAAGGTGTCCATGAAACATGTTTTTACAAAGACAGTGAGAATAAAAAAGCAATTTTCTATCTGCAGTTGTCACATGATTTGAGACAGCTAATGGCAGGCGACTGCCGGTAGAATTTCAGGAAAATTGTTCTCCCGTCTGTCAGGATATAGACACTGCCTGAGTATAGAGGTAATCCGGAAGAGTACTCGTAGAAGAACGGTTGATTGTTGCTGATTAGGTTTCAGCACACTAACGTAGAAAATACCGGACTTTGAAATGGAAACCGTGATATATGTCGACACGGACACTGCAAAAGAACCACTCAAACACAAAAAAAAACGAGAAGGAACGGATATTTGCAAATCGAACACTTAACGCATCAAAAGATTTCTTGGGCTTCTTTGAATAAATCGCGTGTTGCCGACATACCGGCAGGACTTTTCTATCGAGATACCATTTACCATAGCAGCGAAATCTACAGTATCCCTGCAGGCCACACCACACGCGAAACTAGGTCCGCCAGCAGGCACTCAGGAATTGGTAAAGGCGAATGCGTCATTCGTCAGACCTCGTGATCACGCTCCTGTCGTTACATGCGCACAGAAATGGTAAGCAAGTGATAGGGATTCTACGGTTCATTGGTCTAACGAGTGCCCACCTTGTACCACGCTTACCGCTTAGAGAGTGAGAAAACAGAGTGGAGTAGAAAAGCAGAACCCATTCAAGGACAGAACGGGGGTGCGCTCACGAAAAGTAATCTTCAGAGGCATCCCAACATTGAACACAACTAGAGGATGACTCAATTGTATCTTCTTGAAAGGTCGACCCAATATTGATATGATAGTGGACGCTACGTGTGGTCTTCGGCTTGAGGCAGGTGCCGTGCTCTGCGTTATCACCAGCTTCAAGACTGTAGTCACGTGACCCTAACCGGCGACACGATTGGCCTGAGACACGCATAGCCTCTACGCTGCTTAAAAAATCCCTCTCTCTCTCCTATATATATATATATATATATATATATATATATATATATATATATATATATATATATATATAGAGGTCCACAAATATATATATATATATATATATTTGTGGACCTCTTGCGCAACATATTTTCGCTGTCAGTTCCTCATCTTAGAATTAGATTATAATGCGGCTACACAACGTAAAACATTGTATCTTCAAACTCGTCCTGTGTCGGGTCATGTTATGTCTGCGGTGCAAGGAGTGGCCAGACGAAGGAAGGACTGCGAAACAGCTTTATTTCCGCAGAGGCCGGCAGCGATCTGGCTGCGCGTATGACGGTGCTCTTCTTATGGAGCGCCCGGTGACGTCAGTACTACGCGTACTGCTGATAGCAACGGCAGCGGCCTCTAGCACTTCCTCCACCGCAATTTGGAACGTCATGCGGCTTCATAGCGATCGGGGGGTCTTCTCTGGCGTTGTGGGTATCGCCGAGGCGCAGCGTTAGTGGGGGTGACGGGCACCGTTTGTCTTGCGGAGACAGTAGACGGAGGTGGTACGTCGGCTTCAGACGCAGGATAGATGGTGTCGGTATCGTCCTCCCCCACAAGGGACGGCGCTGTCACTGCAGTAGACGCTGAGCGCAGGTGGTCCTTGTGTCGCCTCCAAGTACGGAGTCCATCCGGTGTCCGCACCTTGACCACGTAGGACACTGGTCCCGTCCGCTGCAGTACTGTTGCGTGGAACCATGTGGGGCCGCTCCTGAAATTACGCACGAACACTTCATCGTTCACTTCGAACACACTGTTAGCACCCCTGCGCCGTGAAGTCTGTTCAAACTGACGTGCTCGGATAGTACGATCCAGAGCCGGCTTCAGTGCATCCAACCGTGTTCGTGACCGACGACCCAAAAAAAGAAAAGATGGGGTTTCTTGAGTCGTCGCATGCGGAGTGTTGCGATATGTCATTAAGAACTTTGACAAGGTTTCCTCCATACTTTCAGTTGCAGGGCCTTTTCGTAGTGCGTTCTTTAAGGCTCTGATATACTCCGACGTAACGCGCGCGCAGGCGAACGCTGGCCGAAGTCGGCTACGTCACGTCAGTCACGCCGCGCGCGTCAAAAATTCGCACTCTTTATACTCCGGTGGCCCTGGCGACTCCCGCGGCTGTGCGTCGGTGGGCCGCCGGCGTGGCGCATGCGTAGAATCTGATTACGAGGGAAGTTTCCTGCGAGAGTGCGCCACTTCCGGTTCCTTTTTGTTTCAAATAGCAGACGAAAATGCTCGCGCTTCTTGGGCGCCAAGTTCGAGCGAAGGCGTCGACGTACCTTGCACGACGAAAACTCGCGCTTGCACTGTTGGTGCACCACCTGCGCCGCAAGCGTAGGCGGTCATTGTACATACGGTACATCTTTGACAAGCGCACGGTCTACGGTACTCAAGCTTCCTCGTGTCGTAGACACACGGGTGAGGACGAATTCCCTCGATCAGATTCTCGACGACCGAGTCCGATTCTTCAAACATGACGCCATACGGAGTGGTGCTCCTGTCGTCTGCTTTGCTCGTATTCGCCGCGCTGCCCGCGCGAGGGCTACTGGGAGCCAGCGCGTGATGCATCCTGGTCCGGCGTCGCTGACGCGGCCGGCGCGGAATAGGGCATGCTCCATTTTGGCGCCGAGGCGGTTATGCTGCGTCGAACGCCGCCGGTCGCGTCGGTTACGCCAAGACGCCGGAGTATAGAGCGTCGGGTTTTCGCCGACGTGGCGTCGCTGTGACGCGCTCGCACGCGCGCACGCGTTACGTCGGAGTATAACAGAGCCTTTAGGGTTTGCACAAATCCCTCTGCGAGTCCATTGCTGCTGGGGTGATATGCAGAAGTGAGAACCTGTCGAACTGCCTGTTCTTTAAGGAACTCTTTAAACTCGGACGATGTAAACTGCGCACCGTTATCACTAACCAGAGCTTCTGGTGCCCCATACCGAGCGAATAAATCGCGCAGTTTTGTTATCGTCGCTTCTGCGGTGGTAGACGTCACGACAAAAACCTCCGGCCATTTAGAATGCGCGTCTACAATGACTAGTAGCATACGACCGCGAAGAGGGCCCGCAAAATCTACATGTACCCGTGACCACGGTTGTGTCGGCCATGACCAAGGGTGCAATGGTGCCTTTTCTGGCATGTGGCGCTGCTGTTGGCATGCCGTGCAGTGTCTCACTTGGTTCTACAAGTCCGTTTCCAAGGAGGGCCACCATACGTAGCTTCAGGCGAGTGCTTTGCTCCGCACTATTCCTGGGTGTCCCTGGTGTAGCTCCTCCAGGACCAGCTGTTGAAGTTTCGGGGGCACGACGACTCTCATTGCATGCATCAGGCACCGCTCGTGGACTGTGAGTTCCCTGCGTCTGTCAAAATAGGGCTTCAACACTTTATCATCAAGATGTGATGGCCATCCCTTCTTGGTGAAGTCTACGACCAAGCGGAGGACGGGATCACGCTCTGTATGACGCGCGATGTCCCTACTGGTGACTGGTAGAGATGCCAATCGCAGCGTATAAAACGTCTCGTCGTGACTGTCGTCTACTTCTGTGGACTGCAACGGAAGTCGTGAAAAACAGTCCGCGTCCGCGTTCTCTGCGGACGTCCTGTAGGCAAGTTTATACTTGTAGGCTGACAGAGTTACCGCCCACCTCTGCAGTCTTGCGGCGGCTATTGCCGGGATCCCACTCTTTGGCCCAAGGATCGCTTGCAAAGGTTTATGATCAGTAATCAACGTAAACTCCCGACCATAAATGTAGAAGTGGAATTTCTTGACGCCAAAGATTAGGGCGAGCGCCTCCTTTTCAATCTGGCTATAGTTTTCCTCAGCCTTTGATAATGTTCGGGAAGCGTAGGCAATTGGCCTTACCGTGCCATCTTTCATGACGTGCGACAGCACAGTGCCGAGACCATATGCAGACGCATCGCAGGATAGCTGCAGCGGGCGTGCCGGGTCGTAGTGTGCCAGCACCTCCGTCGAAGACAAGATTTCCTTGATGGCTTGGAAGGCATCTTGACATTTCCGATTCCAGCACCAGGGAGCATCCTTCTGTAGTAACCTGTAGAAAGGCTTTGCCAGCGTTGCTAGCCGTGGCGTGAATTTTCCATAGTAATTTATCAGTCCAAGCAGTGAACGCAACTGTGCGATGTTAGTAGGCGCTGGGGCATGCAGCAACGCTTGAACTTTTTCCTCGCTTGGCTTGACGCCGGTCTCGCTGATAATGTGCCCCAGATACTGCAGGCTTTCTTTGAAAAATTCACATTTTTCACGCTTGACGCGAACACCTTTCTGCTGAAGTGTACAAAACACGGCTTCAAGGTTCCTGAGGTGTTCTTCAGCGGTTGCTCCCGTGACGAGAATATCGTCAAGGTAGCATATGACACCCGGTAGTCCTTTAAGTATGTTGTCCATAATGCGCTGGAACAACGCGGGCGCAGACGCTACTCCGAAAGGGAGTCTGTTCACCGCAAAAAGCCCTTTGTGCGTGTTTAGTGTGAGAAGTTTTTTTGAGTCCTCCGACATCTCTACCTGCTGGTATGCCCTGCTAAGATCTAGCTTGGAAAAGTATTTGCCTCCGGCGAGCGCAGCTAGTATTTCCTCAAGTTTGGGCAGGGGGTACTGCTCCGTGTCTAGGACAGGGTTCAACGTTGTTTTGTAATCCCCGCACACACGTATGGTGCCGTCCTTTTTAACTACCGGTACAATAGGCGTAGCAAACTCATTGGTTGACACTTGCGTAATGACGCCCATTTGTTCAAGCTTCTGCAACTCTTCCTCTACGGCCGACCGGAGTGCGTAAGGCACGTTTCTCGCTTTGAGGAACTTCGGACGTTGCTCTTTCAAAAATAAAGTGGCTCGCTCACCTTCTATCTTGCCAAGGGTGCCGTCGAAGATGCGGCTGTACTTGGCTTGAAGTTCTTTTAGGCGTGCCTCGTACTTCTTGCTTGCATCAGACCGATGAGGGTCCGACAGCTTGTGTACGCCGCAGATGTTGTCCCAGTCCAGACGAAGACGTGTGAGCCACTCGCGGCCCAAAAGAGGCGGGCCATTGTGGTCAACTACGTAGAGGGGTAGAACGTCCTCTTGACCCTTGTATCTTACGGACGCTTTGACGAAACCGCAGGGTTGCACGACTTCCCCGGTGTAAGTCTTGAGGCGTAGCTCGGTGGGTTCAAGCTTCAAAGGAGGCTGAAATTTCTTGAACTGCTGCTTCGGTATTATGGACACCGTGGCTCCCGTGTCCAATTCCATGCTCAAGGAAGTTCCTTGAACTTCCACGTCGACGGTGATGGGTCGCCGGCTTTGCGGTGACAGCATCCTGACGTTGAATGTGTCGTCGCTTTGAAGAGTCCGGACCCACTTCTTTCCGCCAACAGTCTTCTTCTTGGCACTCCGACATGCACGCTGAACGTGACCCTTCTTGCCGCAATTCATGCACTTATCTGCAATGTGCGGACATGCCCGGGCGAAATGCTTATCAGAGCCACAGCGATAACACTCGAACGACTGTTTCCTTTTCGCGGAATCTTCGGTACTCATCTTGTGCAAGTCATCGCTCCTTTCTTTTGCGTGCGCCTCCTGAACATTTTTTTAGCTTCTTCTAACGCGAGTGCGCGTTCAACGGCTTTTTGAAATGTCAACGTTTTATCCTCTGCAAACAAATACCGCTGTATGTCCGCACGGAACAAACCGCACACGAACCGATCTCTCAGCGACTCATCTAGGAAACCGCCAAATTCACAGGTTTGAGAGAGCTTCCTGAGCTCCGCTACATATTGTGCGATACTCTCGTGTTCCAACTGACTACGGCGATGGAATTTCGCTCGTTCTCCAATCACTGATACTCTCGGTGACAGCTGGTTTCGCAGCAATTGGGTTAGTTGCTCTAGCGTGTTTTCTGACGGTTTGGCAGCTGCCGTCAAAGACTTCAAGAGACTGTACGTTTTAGGCCCAATAACGCTTAAAAAAGCATGCACCTTGAGGACGTCAGGTATTTTGTTGATCAGAAAAAAGGACGTCAACCTTTCTTCATAAGACTGCCAGTCACTCACAGTTTCATCGAAGGCTTCTACTTGGCCGATATGACTGGAGGATGCCATCTTGAGAAACTTGCTGTCGCCGAGTACCCAGCGGCGTGCGGTGATGTTTCGCTGTCTGCTTGGACGCAGCTTCAAGGCTTCTCACCTTCGTCTTGGCTTTGTTGCCCCCATCCTCGTCGCCAGTTGTTATGTCTGCGGTGCAAGGAGTGGCCAGACGAAGGAAGGACTGCGAAACAGCTTTATTTCCGCAGAGGCCGGCAGCGATCTGGCTGCGCGTATGACGGTGCTCTTCTTATAGAGCGCCCGGTGACGTCAGTACTACGCGTACTGCTGATAGCAACGGCAGCGGCCTCTAGCAGGTCACTTCTGGGCTGGGTAACTTCTCTAGATGTCCAAAAGGTGGCCTTTATGAAGCTGTCCTGTTCACTTGGCATCGACATACTGAGTGCGCAAAACCGCTCCATAGCCGGCTAAAGCACATTGAATTGTCGTGAATCTGTAGCATTACAAGGACATGCATTCTTCTATAGCTCGCTAAAAGATATTGAATGGTCGCGAGTCTATAGCTGCATCACCACATAATATTTTATAGCCAGCTAAAGAAATCTGAATGGTCGAGATTCTATAGCTTTGGAGACAGATTATTTTGTAGATGGCTATAGCTCGTTCTATCGTTTCGCACGACTGGCCACTGAAGTCCATATACGGTGATAGATCACCATAGGACTTTCCACACACGTCCATAGACAATTTTCGTTTGGGAGTGGCCATTAGGCGGACAATGTTGGCGCAGCTCGCGCCACCGTGCGGCTTGGAGCTGCAATATCATACAACGTTTCTATTTCCGCTAAAATTGCGGGCGACTGACGAATCTAAAAAAAAATAAATAAAATGAGGTGGTGAGCGATTGCAGCAGACGTAAGAAACCTGCTCATCCTTAGGTTACTGGATGACGATTTTGAACAACAAACCAATGAATAACGAAAAACGGGGGTAGCTGACAAACGCGACAAACATCATCAACACCCTGATAAAAGGTATTTGTGAAAGCTTGCATACGTAGTAAAATACCCGGCGCGGAGAGCGCGAAAGTGTGATATCACGTTGCGAACCTTGATGTGCTTTCACAGATCCCGCTGAGCCATCGGACTCCAAAAAATGTGAAGGGAGGACGGATTTGTAATTGCAGTGGTTTCTGCTTACACTGTACACAATTTAAATAAGATTCCAGAAGGTACAGGTCGGCATTCGAGGTACAAGCAATTCACTTCATGAAATATAATTTTTTATCCTGCATTCTCTATATACTGTGTAGTTATGACGTTATTGTTGCGACGTTATATCCCTCTATACAAAAATTTCATTCTACCACGAGTAGTTGTTCAAACTCCTGGGCCTCTCCCTTTAATGCACATAAGAAATCATATTGATAAAAATCCTTCCTTTTTTAGAACACTATTTATTTCACAAAAAGACGTGCGTAGAGTCACTTATGTAATTGTAGACGCGCGTACAGGGCAACATGCCTGGCCATAGCCCCTTTTGTACCGGACAGGCATAGTATAGGAGTTAAAACCTTTATGCGAGTTCGCGTATAGCTATGTTCGCTACAAGCAAAACGAACTAAATTTTTCACAGAATAAAATATTGAAATGTGGATTATGTCCTATAGACGAAGAAGTTGAAGTTTAGATTATTACAACCCCCAAAAGATAGCCTGATCCCGAAGACCCTGCAGAGTTCCGACAATTTTGTTTGCAACCTTGAGAGAAGATTACAAGCAAGGATGTAGAAGAAATCTTTGGTTCCACTCACTTCCTTGCTCCAAATGACCCAAGTGAACTTGAACAAGGCCATTGGAAAGCAGATACCAACTGCAACGATGCTGCTGATGACGTTATGTCTCTTGAGAAATCAGGCGTCGTACCGTGGTGTAGCGGACGAATTTGGGGTTCTCAAAAGCACCATGTACATTTTGGTGACATAGATTCTTTTATGTGGGCACGGTGCGCACCCTCCATCCTACAGTGGCCCATACAACTTGTTCGCATCGCCAGCCCATTTGAACGGAAATGGACATTTTTAGGTGCAGTGGGGAGAGTGGACGGCTGCCATGTGCCTATTAAGATGTCAAAAACGGGGCAGTCTTCCTTATTTACCTATGTCGTGCTTCAGGCCTGCTGCAATAGCAGCATGGTCTTCACCCATGTCCACGTTGAGTCCCCGAGTCGCTCACATAATGCGCGAATATTTAACAATTCTGGGTTGGAAGATGCCCTTAGCTCTCTTACAGACGAGCTTCACATCCTTGAAGAATCTGCGTATCCTCTGCAGGTCAACTTGATGCGCCCTTACAGATAATGGACACCTCTCAAGGAGACAACGTCACTTTAGTGTGACCTTAAGTTCGGCACGGGAAGTGGTAGAGAGTACCTTTATCATGCTGAAGGGCAAGTTCTGAAGATTTGAGTATGTGGACATACATAACGCCGCTATGATCCACAGGTTTGTCATGGTTGCCTGTGGCGTCCACAATGTCATCCTCACGTCGGCACAGCCCGTTGTTGTTTCCAGGGATGACTTAGACAATCCTCGCCTCCTACAGAGAAACAACGAAGTCGGCGGCCTCAACAGCTGCCAATGCCAAGCATAACACAAATGCTACCTTACTGCTACCTGCACAATCCTAAAGGGAGGAGCACTAGCATAGTACATGTCAGACTATCCCCAACTGTTCCTGCTGTCGTCATGAGCAAGTTTAAATAGAACAATATCAATCAGGAGGCTATTGGCTCTAACAAACACTTGGTGTTTATTGTTTTGTGGGTTGATTAAAATTCCGAAAATATGTATTTCTGCGTATATTTTACGTCTGAGATCAGTGGTTATCTCTTTTAATGTTTCAGTAAAACCACACTACAAAATGTTTGCAGATTATGAAAAGAGCAACACTAATCATTCACCGAAACGTATCCAGCATGCGAACATCACTGAATTGGCAGCATGCAGCCTGGGCATCTTTAACCAATTGGGTACCTAAATATTTGGAGTCATCAGTTTAGTAACACTCTAGTAATCATTAGGTCAGATAACTATTTGTATATTTACAGTTTTAAAACTGCAAGTTTCAATGCCTTCTCTTTCACAACTGAGCTGCTTAGAACATTTAATATAATATTTAAATGCCTGCAACAAAAGAAAAAGTCAAAGTTTTAAACACAATGCCGCTAGAATTTATTCAAGCAAGTTTTAAAAAAAAACAACCTAAATAAGTTCACCAAACACGGTGCCATAAAAGAAGAAAGTGTTGTGCCATGGCTACATCTGGATAAAATACGTAAAACGTTTCTTCTTACTAAACTTCAAATGCGGCGGCTGCACTTCGCCTACCTGACTGTAAGTATCATACCATGGATTAAATAATAAAGTCTCACCTTAAACTCCAAAATCTTTAATCTAAAAGAACTCAAAGAGTTCAGGAGCAGTGCACCACGAGCGCACATTTAACTACCACCGCCTTCATTTGCAGAATTTCCGGACAACAACAACGAGTACTGCGAAAGAAGCACAAGTCATTCCGCACTGCCTCGGCGCATCACTGACCGCCACGCGTCCCAATCAAGATCACGGACCACAGCACCTTCAACGTCAACGACAGGAACGGCGGGACGAATTTGCGTCAGTTCGGCAGCAGTGCACAACGAGCGCACATCTAACTACCACCGCCTTCATTTGCAGAATTTCCGGACAAACAACAACGAGTACTGCGAAAGAAGCACAAGTCATTGCGCACTGCCTCGGCGCATCACTGACCACCACGCGTCCCAATCAAGATCAGGGACCAGGGCGCCTTCAACGTCAACGACAGGAACGGCGGGACGAATTTGCGTCAGTTCAACAGCAGTGCACCACGAGTGCACATCTAACTACCACCGCCTTCATTTTCAGAATTTCCGGACAAACAACAACGAGTACTGCGAAAGAAGCACAAGTCATTGCGCACTGCCTCGGCGCATCACTGACCGCCACGCGTCCCAATCAAGATCAGGGACCAGAGCGCCTTGAATGTCAACGACAGGAACGGCGGGACGAATTTGCGTCAGTTCGGCAGCAGTGCACCACGAGTGCACATCTAACTACCACCGCCTTCATTTTCAGAATTTCCGGACAAACAACAACGAGTACTGCGAAAGAAGCACAAGTCATTGCGCACTGCCTCGGCGCATCACTGATCGCCACGCGTCCCAATCAAGATCAGGGACCAG